CGTTTGCAGATCAAATCTCAAGAACAAACGGCAAGTGAAAATTGCAAAGAATTAGGGCAAAGCAAAAGAAAGCTTAAATCGGCCGTCAACATCTTGTATGTTTACATCGTGTTCACCGCTTGTTATCTTCCCTATACTGGTACAATGCTGATCATAGTAACGTCTGAGCACGGATTATTTCTGAAAGGAATGTTTCAGTTTTCAATGACATTAGGATTCTTTAATTCGTCCGTGAATCCCATCTTATACTGCTGGCGGATGAGAGAGATACGGAGATATGTTTTAGAAATGCTCAAGAAATTCCTGCCATGTTTACAAACGGATCAAGGTACTGAAATCCCAAAGGAGAAGAAATTATCAATCTTCACCTCCTCTCATTTCAAAAGAGACCAGTCAACAAAGAGTCGTGCAAGTCAAGTTAACTAAACGAACCATTGGTCATCAAATGATCAGAGAGGATTTTTGATAGGCACTTATTCGACAAATAAATATTTTCCACTGATAGACACGATGTTGGTATAGAAAATTGGAAAAACATGCTTCATCGAAGGACACAGGAGGAGTTTAATTCATTTTAAGAATTTACAGCTTGCAGTTTACATTTAGATGACATATGTAACTGCTAAATTACAACTTGTGCGACTTATTTTTCTTTCTATTCAGAAAATCTCGTCAAGAGGGCAGTGAAAGAGAATGTATCATAAGAAGAAAGGTTGTTAAGTGCTGGCGTCAATTGTTTAACTACCTCAAAGCCAGCCTCTTTCTATCATTTTTCCGTGAAGAAGGAGATTATTCGTTATAGATATCCCAGTAATGAAAACCTCTTTCCCATCGAGTATCTCAGAAATACCTTACGCTGTATTAAAATTGTACCATAATATAAGAGATCTTTCATGAGTTAAAAAATACTAATTAAAGAGAAAAAGAAAAGACTAATAATCTAATCGATAAGAGGATGCATGGGGCAAAAATGAAAATTCCTTTTTCTGCTTATCTGTTATATTTACGAGAAGAAATATACGCAATGTTCATTCCCACAAAAATTACTAGTCTCAGTAAAATGTTTTCTCATGATTTCAAGCTGAAAACTCTTTCTCATTTCAACGCGAGCGAAGACAACACATTATCGACAGGTAATAGCCTAAAATTCAAGACTCTGCAAATTGATGGCCGCATTCGTATCTTAGTTGACACATTTTATGTAGATGCTTTATATCAAATCAGGCCGCGATACGTTGAATATACAAAATTTTTCACTGTGTTTTAATTATCAGAAAGCAGACCACAATCACTTTTAAAATTATTCGATCTTAAAATCCCGTCACTAACTTTGGCATTTTCTGATGAAAGTCATCTTTATACTGCTTATGATCTGATCAGTAGAAAGACATCCTCTGTAAGTCTTTTGACAAAATGTCACATAATGGTGTTTCTGCGAATGCGAATTTGAGCGCCATATTGGAGGGATGTAGATTAGTTAATGGCAATTAAAAACATCTTCCTTTTTTTCCATTTATTATTTCTCCTCTTTTGCCGAGGAAATCTGAGTGCCTATCAAGTTATAATGTACACAGTCTTTCCCCCTTTCGCTTGACATACAACTATTTCAATTTGACATCAGACGGTTGAGAAAATCTTCCTTCTCGATGTTTCCACAATTTGTGTCCAAACCAGTGATCACCTGTAGGGGTCAAACCGCGCGTTAACGACGAATTTTCTCCCATTGCAATTAATTTTGCTTTGCGACGATTTTTGAAAGAAAAAAAAAGATGATAAGAGATAAAAAAGAAAGATTAATGTCTTCTCAGTGTTCATGTAATTTCTTAACTTAGTCTATACGGTCCTTATAATAGTTATAGCCTATATTTTAAACTTCTCATATTTTATTAAGAAAAACTCTAAAATCATATTGAGATTATTGAAGCAAAACGTAGTTCAGGCTTACATTAGCGACGTTCTCCTTCGAGTTTCCAAGAGACCAACTGAAAGGCCGTCGAATTGAACTCTTTACCTTCAAATTTAAAAATGAGTGCCCCTCTGAATAATTTTGTCGTTAAGTTGATAAGGAACTCATCAAGGGATGGTGCTTATCTATCAATTTCCTTAATCGTAATTAAGAGTTGTCTTTATCGTTTATCCCTGTCGGAGCACTTTTTATTACGTGGCCTTTACTCTTTCTGCTATCTCCAAAATTAAGTTCCGAAATGTTCGATGGCTCCTTCAAAGTGATAAAATCTATTTCCTCTCCCTCCCCATTACCAGCAATGCGAGTCATATTGCGTCTCAAATACCGTACGTCAATCAAAGATTACTTTCAAAATGGCTTCCCGAAGATACAAAGAAATGTATGGGATCTGAAATAAAATCTTATTTTTTGGCAGTTTAAATAAATTAAATTCTACGTGCCGACCTCTCGTTGATAAATAATATGCAACTGCACTACGAAGCGAAAGTTTTTTCACCGTTTCGTTTATTCGTCGAGCCGCGGAATAGAGGTAAAATAACAAAGATCTTCGGTTGTACTTCCTTTATAGTTTCATCCAAATACCTTCACTTACCTTCACTTCCATGCTTTGAGCTGTCCGTGTGTTTCATGCTTTCATCGGTGCCGACCCTCAAAATTTTCTTCAGTTTACGATCTTTCAAATACGTTAAATAAAGCCTTCCATGATAAAATAGGAGGCCGCAAATCAATCTTGAAAATAGGGCTTTTTCACTATTAGACGTAACCTTTACCTGAGCTCGCGAATGTCCTGTAGGACGCGAAGAACGACCACTTTCCATCGTTTTCTTCGTGAAAAAAAAAGTCGCCATATTTACTTCAGCTTAGCAGCCTAGCATTTCCACGCTTTTTTACCGCTGTTTTAACAATCTGCAGACTCCTACAAGCGCCAAATCGCGCCAATTATAAAAAACAAAACTTGTATCACTGTGAGCTCATTCCAGTCTGAATCGTCAAAAAATGTCTGATGTTTTGCTCGATTTCGAAAAGAAATCCCTAGAATTTCAACTTAAGGTCACTGAATCTCCTCTTTCTTATATAAAACAGCAATGCGTTCAAGAATCTCGAATAGCTCTGGCAATATACATCCCGTATCCAATTTTGATGAAATGGCATGAGCTTGTTGGAATAAAAGACGAGAGAGGAAATGAGTTAAACTACATTGAAATGCAACTGATGCGCTCTGTAGTCTTTCCACGGTAACAGTGGGGTTGCTGTATGCCCTAGAAAGTTTTTAATGCAGAAAACAAAACATAAGATTGGAATCGAAAACGTGTTACGGTTAAGACGATCAAACCATCTTCTATAATGAAGCTCACATTTAAGCTTAAAATCACCATCGAAAACAAACTAAATATACCTGATAAGATGCTCATTCAAATGAGCCGAAGGCTCCCACGTGCTTGTCCACAATGGCCAGTCCTTCCATTTTACTAGGTATTCAAAGTCCTGAAATTGTCAGAGATTGATTAGAGCTGTTTATGAACTTACTTCGATTGTAGTATAAATTTCATCCGAAGTAAAATATAGCTGCAGGAACATAAAAGGGTCAATACACATACCTCGTTCTTCAATCTTCGCCGGCTGATAAGTCTCTCCACAAAATAAACTTTAGATCCGCTTTTAAATTTTCTCCTTCCTTTCAAATGAACTTCTAAATCCACTGTAGAAAGAACATTTAGTGCTTTATAATCAACTCGATTCCTCCGCGGAAATCTACTTCGCTCCATGTTTACATGAAATCTGACGCCATAGCGCATGAACAGTAGAACCTGAAGAAACTACTGACCTCGCGGACCGCGGGAGTAAAATGTCTCGGATTGCTGGTAATGCCCAGACCCCACTGTGCGCACCCAAGGAATGCCTGGATAGTAATGTGAATAGGCCATTATAGATTGCGTTCGAAAAATTAGCTAAATGTTAGAAAAATGTTATGCTTCTAGCATTGCTCGGTTTTTTCCAAATTGTGCTAATTACGCTCATTTTTAAAAATTATACTACTTCTCTTTAAGGTTGAATTTTAGAAAAAGAATCACAAAACAAGTCCAAATTATATATGTCTAAGTTACAAAGCGTGACATCTTTTTTATTCTTATAAAAAGGGCTAAAATTATGCCCGTTTATCCGAATTATGCCGAGCATTATGCTTGCATAATCTATAAGGGCTTAGATTTGAGGCAGAAGTGTTGAACCCCTAATGCTTTTATGACAAAATTCGTTCACTTTGCTTCCCTGTTTAAGACAAGTAAAATGCGTAAATTATAGCATTTCTCTTAACAGACCTGGTTTGGTATACTCTGGTAGGATACTCAAGGGGCTGGATTTTCAAAACGGGATACACGAGGGCCACTCAAATTTAGACGAATTCGTTTCAATAAGGTTTGGAAACGTCGTTTCATGTGATCGAATTTCAATGCGATTTACATTCCTAATTGTCTTAATAATAATCGTATTCATACCTGGAATGTTGTATGTTGTCGTTTCTGAGGTTGAAAGTGGCGTCTTTTACTTAGCCATTTACAGGATTCATGAGGCAAGAGTCTTTCATATGCGCGCATAATACTATGAATCAATAATTCATTTCAGAATAATGAGACGCTGAAGTTTCTCCCACAGTCGGGGAGATCAAATGTTCCGTCTGCCTTTCAGGAGAAAATAGTTCAGTTCGCTTTGTGCATATCCGTAATGAGCTGTTTCTCTGACAATCTACAGATCGGAAACGGTTATCTGTATTGCCGTAAGAACAACTGAGAACTATATCTGAAAAAGGCATAATGAGATAGAAAAAGGTTATAAATGATCACGATATTGCCTCGATATAATTTTCGTTGAACTCTAGAAAATTATTCCCAAATTTACAGGCGGTGAAGCAACCAAATATGGTAATGAAGGGTGGCGTAATTTAAGTTTGATAGAAACTAATTCAGCTGTTCACACCTGAGTCATTTCCCTTGGAACTTCAAGACTTTGAATTTGCACCGAGATCAAACGATTCGTTATGAAAGCTCTGGAGAAATTTTGTGACGATATTTCTAAATATTATGCAGAAAAGCATGAATTTTACAGCTGGTACGTATTGCTTTGTGTACTCAACGCGATGTTGGCTCTTTCAGCCACATTTGGGAACATCATCATCATCTGCGCGCTGACGAAGACTACTTGCGCTCTATGTACGTCAAAGATTCTTCTGCGTGGTTTGGCATTCACCGATCTTGGAGTTGGTTTAGTTGTGCAGCCGTTGTACATATCTGTGATCGCTGAGATACTCCTGAAAGATTCTTTTTCGTCTAACGATTCTGAGTGCAATACAAAAATTGCTTTCCTCGTCTTGGGAACGTTTCTAACCAGTGCCTCATTCTTCATTGTTTCAGCGATCAGTTTTGATCGCTTCCTCGCTATTACACTTCATTTACGCTACAGAGAAATCGTGACAGAGAGGAAGGTAACCATCACCATTTCTGTCTTGTGGGCGCTTAGTGCAGTAACCTCGGTTGGGTATTTGTTAATCGGAGATATAAATCGAGAAGTTGTTTCTATTGCCTTCACGATCACTTTCCTCGTAACAACCACTATAACTTTTGCTAAAATTCATCTCGCTGTCCGCCGTCATCGTTCGCAAATATCAGCGCAGGAGAGAAAAGTTTAAGTCTGCCATGAGTATCTTCTACGTATATGCTGCCTTTGCCGCTTGTTTTTTGCCCTACACCTGCACCAAGCTGGCTATAGCCACAACAGGGCATAGTCTCGTTTTGAAAGGAGTCTTTCATTTTTCAATGACGTTGGGGCTTCTTAATTCGTCTTTAAATCCCATAATATTTTCCTGGAGAATGGAGGAGATCCGAAGAAGCATGCTGGAGGTATTGAGGAGGGTGTTACCTTGTTTGAAGTTAGCTCGAGTTATTCAACTTCATCCTCAACAAGAGCTTGCCATGACGTAATGTGAAGACCCTTCTCTAAAATGGCAAACGACACAAAATTACAAGAATGAAATAATTTCCATCGTGAAAGGGAGCATGGTTCAAATAATTCGAAATGAGAAAATTTGAACGCAATGCAATTCTCATTGTCGCGGAAATTACGCTGACTCGGAAATCTCTCTTACTGGTGTTCTTTTTTATATTTTAGGGGTATCTGCTTCATGACGGCTCAGTCATACAAAACAATTTTTTCGGATTCAAAATGAACCTTTTTTTCTGGTTTAAAGCAACATCTGGCCTGTAGAAGGTTTAAGAATTAAAGATGCAAATTTAGGAGCTAGTGAAAATTCCTGTGACAGTAATTTGACATCCATTTGTCTGAGTGAATCTTTATAAACGATATACTCAATGTGGATGATCAAAACTTATCTAGCCGAAGATAAAGGAGATTAGAAAATGTTGAAGTGGCTTTTCACCAGTCACAGACGTCAATGAAGAAAGACGTGTATGAATTAAGGATTCTTTTCTAGGCGACAGTCAGTAAGATATAGCTTATGAGTAGGGTTACAATAAAATTACTGGGTGAAATGGTCAATAGCTTTGTTTTCTTTATATATACTTTCATATCCAGTGATTTTGAGCAGAAAAGTTTAACCAATGAACGGATTTATGATATGATAAATGATTACAAGAAAGAACTGAAAATGCATTCAGAAATTGGTGCACGCCAACTAAGGCAATTTATTATGGTAAAACAGGACAAACCAGCCCATCTTGCCTACAGAACACAAAATTTGTTTCATCTTGGGCGCCCACAAAATCAGCCACATAATGATATGACGGCTTTTTTTTAAAACCAAGCGGCTGTGGATCTCTTTGAATGCGGTGAACGACCTGATGATTTCGACCCATTTCTGTTGAAAATCAGATCCTTTTTCTCTGGCGCTTGATTTCGAGAGATGATTAACCCCTATATTCAGTATTACACATAAACTGTCTTACCGAAACGTTGTCATATTTCAATGAGAAATTGCATTAATAGTAGTGGTAAAATCCTTGTCTTGTACTCGGATCTGGAGAGCGCGCTAAGTAAACATAAAGAGATGGAAGACTTTGAAGACTCAGAAACTTAGAAAGTAGGAACCAAAATCTCGAGTCATTTGACGCATGAACGTTTAAGTTCTTTTCTGACCGTCCACTATCTTGTTCCGGGGAGCACTTGTTTAAGAGGATTGTGCAATCGAATGAACAAATACGAGAATAATCCAGTGGGTTGGCAGGGGGAGGGGTTGGGGGGACGAGAACGAAGAGGTGGGAGGTGGGGTGTGGTGCGGTGTGGTGCGGTGAAATTTTGGTACTAAAGCTAAGGAAGACAGGAGGAAAATAAGAGGATTGTGATTTCGAAAATAATCCTTTTACAGTTCTCCTTCTTTGGTAGTGCCTCTGGTCTGTACTATTGCGTCGTATACTGCTTTATTTCCATCAGGGCAGCAGATCACAACTGAATAAGGAAACATTGCAGTGTTCTTTTCTTAATATTCGGATCCTGACACTTTGCATTTAATTTTGTATGAAAGCAGGGGCTCCCGTAACTGATCATAACTCTCCATTAATTCATCTACGGTATAACAGTTGCTTAATATAATCTTCTGAGATGTGTATCGCAGTTGTTTCTACCCCATTTCCTGTGTATGAAACTTGCCTTTTTTGAAGATTAAGTAGCATAATTTGCGAAATTCTATTTAGATACACTGTAGCCATATAGATTCTGATTCGTTATTCTCCGTTTTAGCTGTTGTTCATTATTTTCACATATATTCCTATCAAGAAAACACTCCCTTGCAGAGAAAACTGTCTATTCTATCACATGTCAGCTGAAATAAATTGATATTGTAGATGCAGTTTATATATTGATCGCTTTAAGAAATCAAATCTTCTTGTAAGTTTCCTTAATTATTTCAATTTGCAGCCTTCACTGTTATTTATTTGGTTTTCCGTCGAGCTGTTTTTCAGTTACTTTGGTTTTAATAAAAAATTATCCCTTCCATCAAAAGAAAAATTTCTTCGTGCGTGTAAATAGTTATTGTCAATAAAACTTGGGAAATTCCTTGGCAAAGTTTTCTGAGTTTTGAAATTCTCCTTCGATTCAGATGTATCCCTTTCAGCCAGACAAGTTTAAAATCCAGGTGTACAGTTAGAGAAAACTTGACGTTGCATTGAGAGACGCAGAAAACGTGGTAGGGAAAAAAGCCAATCTTGCAATTTAAAATGTGACGCCTGAGTTCATCTCTCAGAATTGAAGAAAACCACATTTGTTTCCTTTGCTTGAACAGGAGTATAACTAATGTCCTACAAAATTTTGTCCTTTAGAGCCTGTTTCTGATCAAAATGTGTCTCTAGACTCGCGGGCGCTAATATTTCAGCTCCTCGTTCTTGAGCCATGACTCAGGACAAAATACAGGCCGTTTTAACACATACCCAAAGTCCTTGTCTTGAAACTCTTTTAGCACCATGACACAGTGATCTTTATTACTTTGCATGATGTTGTGTGCATTTTCGCACTTGGCGCAGTAAAACAAACAACACTGAAAACAAAAACTTGAGAACTTTCGGAATATTTCTGCTCGCAATTCCCACACTTTAAATGTCTGTTGTTGTACTTTTTTATGGCCAGTACATCAATCAAACGGTTTAGGTAAAACTCGTCGGCAGATCTTTCAGATCGCCTCTTCTCGTCATGCTTTTTGCTAATCCTCAGTTAGGAACCCCATGACCACCATTGACGATATTGCCATACTCGCTGAAATGAATGCAATAACCTGGCGCAAATATACCATAATCCCCCAATTGTTGCTTATCAGAAGGATAGGTCTCTAAAAGACTCCGGCTCCAGTTAGAGCACAACTTTCTTCACTTCAATTACACGGCAGCATTTTAGGAGTTACATACTGTAAGGGTCTAATGACGATACTAAAACACAACGCCAAGCACATAAGGCCTTATCTAAAGAACCTCAAGCTTATTTTAACAGCTCATGTAAGTCAGTTTCTGATCAACACGAAAAAGAGAATTTTGCTTTGCTTTGAGTGACTGATTATTCATCAAAAGAAATTGCGTCAATCTTTATCCAACGTAGACGCTATATTACCCTCCCCCACCTCCAAACACGATTGTAGTACACATTTTACAAGGCCTCTAACTGGTGCTGGGGGAGGGGATTTTAGTCATTATTTTGTTTCCGAACTCCCTTCCAGCTTCAATGAACACTCTATTGTGTACAGTCAGCCGTTCTTTTGGTTGCCAAACGTCCAACATCTTACAGGGAAACTGATGTATGCTCTCAAATACCATTTTGCCGTTTGGAAAGGAAACGATAATTAGCGCTAGTGGGTCACAATACTTAAGTATAAAAGGTGTCTTTACATGGCATTATTATTATTTTGCCCGTTTTTATGCATTTTTTTTTGGGGGGGAGGTGTAGGGGAACTTATTGAGAGAGGATAAAAGATGTTTAATCTTTTTCACCCGCTGCAATGGCAACGATCGAATGAATATACATGGCGGCAACTTTTAATGTGCCTTATTGAAATTAGCAGATAATTTTCAGTCTCTCGTACTCGCAGCTGGTTTTTTCTTAACTGAAATAGTAAGTTTCCAATATATGTTTCACTTAATATAATGTTCCGGGAAACCAGCTGAGGTTAAATATATTTAATATCGCTTCGTAATGTTTCTACACTTTTAAAAAAAACCAGCTATTTACTTTTTTGCGCATATTACGGTGTACGGATTTCTAAAAGGCCATCTTTTATTTCCTCAGAATTATATCTACAGAGACATGCTTATAACTAACAAAAGACAAAAAAACTACTGAAAATGATAGATATATTGTGTTTTCACCTTTTTTTTGAGTTGAATGTGTAATATTTTGGTAATTTGAGCCCACGCATGCAGATCTTACAATATTTCGTGGGACCAATGCGACGTAAGTTCTTTAGAATGAGCAAATTAGCTTGGAACTTGAATAACACATAATTGCTTTTTCTGAATATTTCTCTTTGAATACCGTCAAAAAGTTTGATTCGGTTTTCCTTGTGTAACTAATGAATGATGTCTCAAACAATTGTGATGCTAATTGATGTGCTGGAGAAATCTGCTGTTTACGAATTCTCACCCACGAAATTTATTTTAGTGAAATGCGATTAATGACATTTTCATTTAAATACATTTTTTAAGAGTTGTTTTGAAAGTCAAACATAGATTTTCTTTCCTTTTCTAAATGTCAAATATCTGTTCAGTTAATGTAATCGAGATTTCTTTTCAATCAGTGAAAATTTTATCCGACATAAACATCGTTGGTCAAAGTCTGAAATGGTTTTCTACGTTTTCATCAAGAAGTCGTTTGATCAGTCTCAGCGAATTTTTAAGCGCGAGAAGAATATAAAAAAAAAATTAGGAATTATGAAAGCACGCACAGTGTTTCAATGAAATTTTTCCTAAACCAGCTGTCATAGGTGTTTAAAGATCCCAAGACTTGCAAATTATACTGAGTTATATTAAAAACAAAATTGGATGTTATGATAAACTGTGAGGAAAAAATGTACTAAGAGCATAATCGTTCTCAGTTCCTTTGAATAATCCTGTAACTGCAAAGGGGTCTGGAATGAAAAGTAATGACAATTTTTTTTTATGTTCATTTCAAAGACGGTGGTGTTGACAGAGTGTTTCA